TGTCTGCGTCTCTCTCTCTCTCTCTCCGTCCCACTCTTATCTCTTCCTACCTGAATAAATCTTTCCCTCGTGTTTGTGTATCTTTTCTCACTCTCATTTGCTTCCACGTTCTTCACTCTTTACTCATTTCTATAGACTTTTCCCCTCTTTCCCTGTGACACAGTCAAGCTTCCCTACTTGTTTCATTCTTAATTATACGGAGACAACATTCCCCCATCCCCTTTTTTAAAACTTCTAATTCCTTCCCCTCCCACTAATAATTACTACAACCAAATTGTCCAAGTCCTTGAAAGAGAGATCAATAAACTGTCATCCAGTTCAGTGCTTCTTGCTACATGCCCCCTCATGTTCACTGAACGCAACACTCATTCAAGTGGACGAAGCCGGACACAATAGTCGATAACTTCATCTGCTTTTCAATTTCCATGTTTTCGCTACTTACATTGTTGTTACCACTCTCTCCACATAACATCACCCTCACCCCGTGTTTCTAGTGCTTAAAGTAGCCATTTACTTATTGTTGTAATGTCGATTGAACCAGTGTTGTTCCTGATTGCAGCTGTTGCTTGTCTTAACTCTGATGAAATAGGGGGAAAGAAAGGGAGGTTAGCAAAGGGACATGTTACCTGTTGTTAGGGCAGAAGAAAGGTTTCTCTCTCTCTCTCTCTCTCAATTAGGGACAACTGGCTTTTCCCTTTCATTGACTCACTTTAGTCTTGTTAGGTAACTCTAATAGCTTGCTATTTAACAGATACTTGATTTTTTTTTTTTTATTTATCTATATTTTTATTTTTTTTTATTTATTTATATTTTTATTTTTTATTTTTTTTAATTTTAGTCTTGAGTTCATTACATCAGTGAAATTTGCTTTATTTATTGATTTTTAAAGGTTTTGTCAGTATCATACTACTGTATCATTTACACTTTGATTTCTTTAATTTATTTCTTTTGTAAGGCTGAAACAAAAGATTCCATTGTTGTAGATATGTGCTTCAGTGATTTTTTTTTTTTTTTTTTTTTTTTTTTTTGTTGTTGTTGTTACATGTCTACTAAAGATTAGAAGATAGTTATATCTATCTTGATGTGGATTGGGGACGGTAAATTTGTCATAAGTCAATTTGAAGAATGAATTTGAAAATGGGCAAATAAAATAGAACAATTCAAATAGAAACCTCTCTCTCTTGGCCGCTTTCTCTCTCTCTCTCTCTCACTCTTGGCCGCCTTCTCTCTCTCTCTCACTCTTGGCCGCCTTCTCTCTCTCTCTCTCCTCTTGGCCGCCCTTCTCTCTCTCTCTCTCTCTCTCCTCTTGGCCTTCTCTCTCTCTCTCTCTCTCTCTCTCTCACTCTTGGCCGCCTTCTCTCTCTCTCTCTCTCTCTCTCTCTCGGCTGCCTTCTCTCTCTCTCTCTCTCTCGGCCGCCTTCTCTCTTTCTTTTTTCCTCCTCTTTTCCTCCTTTCTACTTCTCTCTCTATCTCCCTGCCCCTATATATATATATATATATATATATATATATATATATATATATATATATATATACACAAAATATAAAATTTATGTTTGTTTTATATTTCTCTAGGTATTTTAGCATCTTTGTTTTTCGGCCTTGATCTCAAGCGCTACACTGGTCATGTTTGCATGGGAAATTCCTGTATTTTCTGCAACTTAAAGGTAAAAAAAGAAAACAAACTTTTCTCTGAAAATATCTTCAAGGTATACTCACATTCACTTTGAAAATTTTAAATTTTTATATAACAACCCATGAACAGGGATATTTGTCATCCATACACTTCTGGGTCACACTTGGGCAAGATAAGATTGTTAAGCTGAAGATTTTTTTGCTACAAAATATTCATAAGATTAAGAATATACAAATGGTTGTAAGAACAGAGAACTTAAAAAAGAAGAAACCTTTAATCACATTTTGAATTGCATGCTTTCTTTAAATCTTAAGCTTTTGGTTATATCACATTGAAACTCTGGTTAAGCAATATCATGCTGGTCTGTACCTACATTGGTGACCACTTGGGAATACGAGCTGCTGCAATCTTGCATGTGCAGGTGTTTTAATGGATAACTGTTCGGAATTTGAAATTGGAGAGACAAGCTCTACATGCAAATGCTGGGCATATGCATGTGGGGATTTTAGAAGTTGTTACTGAGCACTGGCACATAGAGAATTGGCTACATTTCATGATACCACCTAATCTTTGATTTTTAATTTTTTTTTTTTCTTTCTTTTCCTTATTATTTCAGGTCATCTTTACACAACTTCAGTACAGTGACAAGAGTTCTCTACACCCAAATGCACTTCGCCGGGCATTGGCTGAAGCGTTTGTTGACCAACATCGCTTTCAGCTTGGTCATATGGATGATGCAGCAGAATGTTTTGTGAGTGGATTTCCTCGGTTTCTTTGGCATCTTTGTTTATAGAAGGAATAATTTTACCTGTAATTCTTGTCTATATTTTTTATAATTCTTTTTATCAATGTTTCTTCTTTGTCTCTTTCTTCTTCTTTTTTTTTTTTTTTTTTTTTTTTTTTTTTTTTTTTTTTTTCTTTTTTTTTTCTTTTTTTTTTCTTTCTTTCTTTTTTTTTCTTTTTTTTTTCACAATGAAATTAATGTCTGCTGGTCATAAGAGGTACATTTATTAAGTAAAACTTTAAATTTCTAGACTGACAGATATTAATTTTTTTTTCCTTGAGTAGATATAGTAATAAGAAATAATTAAAATGATCCAATGTTCCTCTACACACACACATTATATATATATATATATATATATATATATATAAACAAATGTTTGAGGTACAAAATTTATAAATAGTTTTTAAAAACAAGGAAACCATTGATTTTAATTTTAAAAGTCTCTAGGGCCCTTTCAGCCAACATCTCATCAGGAGACAATCGTTGGATTAGCGAAAAAAGAATATTAACGATATTGAAGAGCAAAAAAAAAAAAAGAGGGAAACACACTAAAATAACGAACAAGTATATATACTTGTAACGAGGGAAGGGAAATCATGTAAATAAATTAGCGAGGACAGTTAAAATAAAATATATATATATATATATATATATATGTAGAGAGAGAAGCGGCATAATGTAAATAAGGAAAAGACAAATATTTATCATATAGTCAGTTATAAATTTATTTCAACAGATCACACACATATATATATATATATATATATATATATATATATATATATATATATATATATATATATATGGTAATAAATCCATTGGTATATAATCCAAGTGGATCCCAGTAATATAAAATATTAAAACTGATTCACTAAAATAGCTCAATGTATTTATTATTACAGAGCAAACAATTAGTACACAATAAAATTAAGTTAATTCCCCTCAAGTACACATGGCCCAGTGGATAAAGGCGTTACTTAGATCCATTGACAGGACCCAAAGAGTGTAAGTTCAATACCTGGTTAAGGTGGTGGAGAACTTGGAGAGGGGAATTAACAGGAGATAACTGATAACTGACATCCATTAGACATGGCATGTGGAACTAGAACAGTCTACCCCAGTGAGCGAAATAAAGGGTTCAGTTCGACATTCCAACCACCTGAAGAAGGCCAGAGCATACAACGGCTGAAACGTTGTAATAAATATGGCGACAAAGATGAAGACAATAGTCCGAATAATGTAAATAGTGCACATAATACCTCATCTCAGAAATATAAACAGATTCTTTCAATCATGTTCTGCATGAAGGGGCTCTTTGGCCTTGTATTGGGCAAAACATAGTATACAAAATAAAGCCTATTTTCTCATCTTTTGCAGGAAAATATTCTTCGAAGGATCCACTTCCATATTGCCAATGGCTACAGTGAAGATAAATGTAATGCATCCCATTGCCTCACCCATCGTAAATTTTCCCTCACCGTCTCAGACCAGGTTTGTAACTGCTTTGTACCTTTTCTGTTTTATTACTTATTAATAAATTGTAAAAAAGTAAAAACTACTTATGTATTTTCCAGCTTGGAAGATGCACCCTAAGAAATTTCTAAGAAAAAAAAAAGAAAAAAATGTCATTCTCATACAACAATACATTCACCTTGCTTCCTTCACATACTGGCACCATATATTCTTTACATTACTAACTCGTTTGATTTTCTTTGTATGGCAATGACATACTAGTCAAGAACAGAAAGGTTCCCACCGCTGCTAGTAAACAGAAACATTGTGATAAATATGGCAACAAAGAGCTGAAATGTTGTGATAAATATGACGACAAAGATGAGGCCAATAGTCCGAATAATGTAAATAGTGTACATAATATCTCATCTCAGAAATATAGACAGATACTGAAAGGCCGAAACATTGTAATAAATATAGCAACAAAGATGAGGACAATAGTCCGAATAATGTAAATAGCATACATAATACCCCATCTCAGAAATATAGACAGATACCAGTGCATGTTTAACCTAAAAGCAGAACGGTTCCCGCCACTGCTTATAAACAGAGCATGTTTAACCTTGTGGCTCAGCTACAGGAAGGTTTATAGTTTAGGAAATACTTGTAACAGCTAAGTGCTGCGATTACATGATATAAAAGGCTGAATTAGATAGCTAACATTATAGCATAATGACTCAACATACAAATCCATGTCCTTATAAGTCGAGCCAAGAAGGTGACTGTCCAAGCTTACTTGAGACTGGGTGTTGCCTTACATTCATCTTGGAAGACACGTATATTTTTCAGGGTATTTATTAGGAAAAAGAGTGCGTCTTGTAAGCTGGAAAATATGGTATTTATATATAACACACATAAGTAACTTTTCCTTTTTTTTTTTTTTCTTTCTCTCAAGTACTAGTAATTCCTCAGCTATTTAATTCTTGGCCTCATTCTCATTTCCCCCTCAATGATTTTAGTCAGTACATTATATGTATTTACTAACTGCTTTCATTGTAATCCCCCTCAAGTTAGCCAAGGGGCAATAATGACATCCCAAATTTCCAGGAACCGGTTCGATGAAGACAGGCAGTCTTTAGGAACTTATTATTTTCTTTTCAATTTGAGAATGGAAACAAATCACTTTATAGTATCAAAAAGAATTAAACCCTTTTGATAATTTAATAGAAAACATTTATTTATTTATTAAGATATTTACAGTTGGAAATTCTGTTTCCATCATATTTCTCTTCAGAAGTATCATGCTTTTTGGCTCTAGTGTCATCGACTGTGTTATGGTTTCTTAACCACTTTCGAACTGAATAGCTGCTGTCTCAAAGATCGAATGGAAGACCCTATCAAGTAGAAAATTTGCCACATTTTTAACTTCGAGACAATTTCTTTTATCATCACAGAAAACTGCCTTTCATCCTCTGCAGAACTTACAGCAATGGTATTAATTATATTTTTAGCTATTATATACCAGCATGAACAGGTAGTGATTTTCCAAGCATAGCTTAGATGTGGCACAAGGCCAAAAGTAGGAGGCACCGGGTGAGGATTGAACTCACTATTCAGTTGTAATTGTTATGGCAAGACAAGCTTGCTAACCATTACACCGTCTCAAGGTACTCCAGCATGAAGAGTTAGGATATCACTACTGTTGGTATAAATATCCATATCACTGAATAGACAATTAAGTACTGTTTTCTTTGTTTCTAAACAAATTTTTCTGTTTCTTAAACTAGTATTATTAAAAAACTAAAACTAAAAACATCCTTCGATTAATGCATTTTCGATTAGTGCACTAAAATTTTTATACACCAAAATTTGATTAGTGCATAAATAATAATTGATTAGTTTGGTAAAACATTCTTCAGTTTAACCATGGTAATTGAAAATTGATTTTTTTTTATAGTTACCAATGTATATATTAGTTGCACTAATCAAGGGATTAGGGCACCTCGAGGTGGTGTAATGGTTAACAAGCTTGTCTCGCTAGAACAGTTACGACTGAGTAGTGAGTTCGATCCTCACTGGGTGCTCCATACTTTCAGCCTTGTGCCACATCTAAGCTATGCTTGGAAAATCTAATCAAGGGATTAGTATTGGGTACTTTCCAGTAAAGAAACTGTAGCGAATAAAGAAAACGGTAACCAGCGAGTAAATTCAAGCTCTCTCAACTGGTATTTCAACCTTGAGTCGTTCCTTCTTGAGTTCTGTCTCAAAATCACACTAACTGCCCGTTCTCGCCGTCAACCGTGAACGTCCCTCGAAGAACTCCCCGACTCGAAAAAAAGTAGTTGCTTTTATAGTTGTTCATATACCCATAATCCCTTGCGTCTTGATGTGATCCCATAATTCATTGTGTCCATGTCCCATAATGCATTGCATCGTTATTGCATAAAAATGCAATGCCAGTCCCCCCTCATTCTTTTATGTTATCTGGCCGGGGATGGATTACGGCAGAGCAGTAGTGCTTTTTTTCTCCCTCATTTCAACTGCAGTACCTTTACATGCTAAGCAAATACGGGCTCTTTTTTGGCGGGGACAAGGCAAGTCACGACCAGTTGTGCTCGTCCCAGGTTCTGTCTCATGTCCGCCACAGAAACATTACTGCTCCAGTTCTATAAATGATTTTAATAAGGACAAAATGGATGCTTGTGTAGGTTTTTTTTCAACTTTGAATAACATGACTTGCCTCTGTAATAAATGTATTGTGTTCAAGTGCCAAACTTGAAATGTGGGTTTAA